CCTCGCTCGCAGCCGAGCTCAGGCGGCCCAGGGGGGCTTCGCTGTACCCGTCCTGGACCTACACGCCCAAGACGATCTCGCCCACTGGCAACACCTCCTGGGCGACGCCCACCGCCCTCGCCTGCTCTGCTTTCTTGAAAGGGCCCAGGACACACAAATAAATACACACAAATAAAAATATTTCTGTTATTTTCCTGTATTTTCTGGGTTTCTGTCTTCCCCCCCACTTCCCATATTTTCCCATATTTTCGGGGGAATCGACGATGAATTGTGTCTGTGTGTTTTTTCCCTCCTGACACAGGCCAATCTCCGCAGCAGGGCTCAACGGCCAGGCAAGGCCCCGGTCAGTGGGTGGCCAGGCAGACCCCTTGCCGGGACTGCCGGCCACGCCCCGGCGGCAGTCGCCGAGAACGCCTGCCGCGGCGCCCTCCACAAAAAATAACGGCCTCGCACGGCCCGCCCGCGCCCGCGGAGACGAGGCGGGGGCCCGCCCGTCTCCGGCCTCGCCAGCCTGCTCCTCCGGCCCGGGTGGCCCGCGCGCAACTCCGCCACCGACGCTCTACTTGACGAACGGACAACACGCACCCATACCCATAGGGGGTCGTTGGGAGGAGGACTGGCTATGGGTATGGATGCGGGTTGTCGGACCCTGGGGAACGCTCCCGTTCGAGCGGGGACCCCCATCCGACAACACGCACCCATAGCCCTCTCCGATCCCCCTATGGATATGGGTGTGTGTTGCTGGTTCGTCGCTACTCTTGAGCCCGAGCGAAGGATCATGACGCTGGAGGGATCGCGAAGATCGGCATCTGGCATGACACCGTGGGACAAGAATACACGTCAAGGCACCTGTGAGCACGGCCGAGGGCAGAGGAGGAAAACTGGGAGGGGAAGGGAAGGGGGCAGAGGATGCAGAGGGGCGGGGAAAGGCGGACAACCACATAGTCACCCGCACGCTCCGCCTGCGACGCGTGGGGGCGGGGGCGGCTGGCCTCTCGAGAGAAACTGGTGGCCTGGCAGATAGGAAGGGCTGTAAAAAAACCTAGGTTTTTTTTACACGAAGGATTGCACGAGGGTTTTTTGCAATCCTTCGACGAAGGGTTTTTTTGCAATCCTTCGTAGAAGGTTTTTGTTGCAATCCTAGGTTTTTGTTGCAAGACCTCCCATGGCGCCGCCCCCCGATGGTCGGGGCAACCCGCCATCGGCATAGCGCGGTGTGGAAACACCAGCAGTGACAGGGAAGCCACACCACGACTGCCACAACGGCCGAGGGACAGATGGGGGAGGAAAGGGGGGGACAAAGGAGGAGGGCGGGGGGGGGGACGGACCAACGAAGGGAGGGGAGGCGACAAGGGAGGAAGGGAGGGGAGAAGGTATAGTGAGGAGGGAAGAGGCCCTGGCCACCAGTGGCGGGCGGCGTGCCAAAAGGCCCTTGCAAAAATTCTCTTCGACCCCGACTGCTCGACTAAGCATGCCGTCCGGCGGGGCCGGTAACCCCTTGCCGCACCTCCGTCAGGTCCAATTTGCGAGATCGCTGCCCCGACACCTAAGACTCGCGAGTGAACCCTCTGACCAGTGGCTGGCGATCGGGCGGGGCACGCCAGGCGCGGCGCCGCGGTGGGCGCCGGGTCGCCTCCGGGCAGGCTCCGGAGCAACGCCAGGGCCTCGCCGGCGGCAGCCAGCGCCTGTCGGAGGGCGGCTCCTCGCTGTCGTCGTCACCGTCGTCGTCGTCGACGACGACGGGCGCCCGCGGCGCTCGGCGGCCTCCTGGGGCTCCCCCGCGGCGCACAGCGCCTCGGCGGCGACGACGAGCCAGGCGCCCCTCCCCGCGCCGCCGCCGGCCAGCGCCAGCGCCTCCTCGCGGGGGCAGCGGCGGCGGTGGCGAGGTCGGCGTCTTCGCTTCGGAGGTCCGCGGGCGCTTCTGGAGGCACTCGTTGCCGCGGCTGGACGCAGCCCGGAACACAAGACAGGGTGGACCTCGAGAGGGATCCGGGGACCAGCTCTGCGCGGATTCCCATCGGAGGAGGAGGAGGCGGAGGAGGGGGAAGAGCAGCAAGGAGGAGGAGGAGGAGGAGGAAGAGGAGGAGCAGGAGGAGGGGGAGGAAGGAGAGGAGCAGGAGGAGGAGGAGGAGGAGAAAAACTTGTTCACCAAGTCTCGGGCCGCGTGGTCACCCAGTTTCCGGCCTCGGTCGATGCAGCTCTAGAACTGGACTGTCATAGAAAGATGGAGACGCGGGCTCCGGCCGACGATGACGACGACGATGACGACGACGAGGACAAAGACGACGACGACGACGACGACGACGACGACGACGACGACGACGACGACGACGACGACGACGACGGACGACGGACGACGGACGACGGACGGCGGAAGACGGACGAAGGACGGCGGACGACGGACGACGGACGACGGACGGTGGACAACGGACGACGGATGATGGACAACGACGACGACGACGACGACGACGACGACGACGACGACGACGACGACGACGACAACGACGAGGACGACGACGACGACGACGACGACGACGACGGCGACGGCGACGACGACGACGACGACGACGACGACGATGACGGCGGCGGCGAGGGCGAAGGCAAAAGCAAAGGCGAAGGCTGAAACGACGACGGCGGCGGCGAAAGCGGTGGTGCCGACGGTAACGACGACGACGACTTCATCGGCTGAGGGGCTATGCCAATCTGGGATGCCGTTGACAATTCATATGGTAGCAAAGACCAGCTGCCGAGTGTACTACAGATCCTGTTTCTGCAACCTGCTGCAAGGGGTTGTAAGATCCAGAATCGAGGATCACAAGATGCATCCGAAGGACCCCAACACCTCCGCGAATGCCTACACGAGGCCCCAGACGGGCCCGCACGGGCCCCCAAAAGAAGCCGCCCAGGAAACCCCAAGAGGCCCCCGAGAGCTCCCCTGGTCGCGACCCGGACGGGGTGGCAGCATGGGCCGAAGGCCACCAGATCCGCCACCCGCCGTTGGCTTGCCACAGGGGCGCACGGCGTGCCAAACCTGAGGAGGAGGAGGAGGAGGAGGAGAAGGAGGAGGAGAAGGAGAGGGAGGAGGAGGCGGAGGGGGAGGAGGGGGAGGAGGAGGAGAAGGAGGAGGAGGAGGAGGCGGAGGAGGAGGAGGGGGAGGAGGAGGCCCCGGCGCACAGGGGCCTTCGGCCCACCCCGAGGGCCACCCGGAAAGCTCCGCCAGACGCCCGGGTCTTGAGTCTTCTAACCCCGTACGGACCCCTAAACTTCCAAGGTCGTCGGCCTTTCCGCTCCAGACGGCCCCAGTATGGCAGACGGCCAAGATGGCCTCCAAGGTGGCTACAACTGCCCCCAGATAGCCCAAGATGGCCCAAGATGTCTCCAAGACGGCCCAAGAGGCCCTTAGACGCCCCAAGGGGGCTCCAAGAGAAGCTTCAGGAGGACCAAATTATTGATTTTCCATGGGTTCCCTGACAGCGCTTGCACTTACGGATTCCTACCCCTGCTTCGAAACAATGGGTTGAGTCCGTGGAGGTTTCGCCGCGGCGCCGCCCATTCTCGCCTCGTTGCTGCCCACTTGCGGGGGTCATGGAGGTTTCGCCGCGTCGCCCCCCCTTGCAGCCTCGCTGCCGCCTCATTGCCGCCCACTTGGGGGGTCCGTGGAGGTTTCGCCGCGTCGACGCCAATTGCCGCCTCGTTGCCGCCCGCTCGAGGGTTCCGTGGAGGTTTCGCCGCGTCGCCGCCCGTTGCTGCCTCGTTGCCGCTCACGTGGGGGGTGGGGGGACCCGCCGAGGTGGCGCCGCGTCGACGCCGGTTGCCGCCTCGTTGCCGCCTGCCATGCTTGGCGGGTCCGACGAGGCTGCACCACACAGCTCACACAACATAGCTTGCACCACATAGCTTGCACATACCTTGCACCACGGAGTTTGCACCACATGGCTTCCACACAGTCAGTGCAATAACTGATAGCTTGGGGTCCGCGCTGGCGAACATGCTTCAATGATTTCAGCCCTCTCTTTTTGCCGAGCTTTCGACGCTCCAAGACGGCCCCATATACCCTCAAGATCGCCCCTAGACGGCCCGCCCCCAAGAAGCTCCCAGGAAGACCCCAGGAGGCACCGAGAAGGCCTCAAGAGTTCTTCTCTTTTTCCTCTCTTGTTCCTCCTCCTCCTCCTCCTTCACCCCTCTTTCGTGTGAACAACTCCCCTCTGTCGCACCCGCAGACTTGTCGGAAGGGCGGGCCGGGCGTTTCGCTTGAGACGTCGCTGCCATCTATGGTCGGGAAGCTTGGAATTCATAGCAGTTTCATGGATGGAGGGCGGTCATTCTTCAAAATATGGCTATCGCCTTAGCGCCGCGCTGATTCGTCTTAAATGTGTGCAGCAGCTTCACGAACAGAAGGCGGGCCGCTTTCAACATGTGGCTCTCGCCTAAGTTCCGCGCACGCTCGTCCCAAAAGTCTGCAGCATGTTTACGGATGAAGGGCGGGCGGCTTCCCAAATTTGGCTGTCGCCAGAGCGCCCTGCACATTAGTCAGAAAAGTCAGCAACGGCTTCAAGGATGGAGGGCGGCTCTTTTTCAACATGGGGCGCACGCCTTAAGCCCGCGCACATTCGCTTTAAAGTTTGCAGCAGGTCCAAGGACTCACACGGCTGAGGTCCCAGAAATGGTGTTCTGGCATCACCTAGGGTTGCCAACACGCAACAATCACGTTGCTTCCCGGCGATGAAATCCTGGGAAATGCGTTTGGGCGCGAGTGGGGATTATCAGACGGTTGTCTTACAATGGGGTATTTGCCGCAATGGCAAGAAAGTCCTGGGTCCTATGCACCGGGAGCTTGGACGGAAGAGTTGATTTGTTACACGGGTCCTCATCCTCCTCCTCGTCCTCCTCCCCCTCCTCCTCCTCCTCTTCCTCCTCCTCCTCCTCCTCCTCCTCCTCCTCCTCCTCCATCTCCTCCTCCTCCTCCTCCTCCTCTCCTCCTCCTGACCCTGCTCGTCCTTCTGTTTCAACATGGGCCGCTCGACTTGGTGCCGCGCACATATGCTTTGAAAGTTTGCAACTGTTCCAAAATTTCGCATGGTCGGAGTCCCATGACTTGTGTTCTGACAATCACGTTCTTTCGCGACGCTGGAACGTTTATCTTCCAACAGGGCAGTTCCCCCAATGGGCAGAAATTCTTATAGGGCCCTGTCCAAAGGGAACTTGGAGTGAAGGTTCATTGCAACATCGTTGACGCGGCTTGGGTTTGCAGGGCTCCTCCTCCGCCTCCTCCTCCTCCTCCTCCCCTCCTCCTCCTCCTCCTCCTCCTCCTCCTCCTCCTCCTCCTCCTCCTCCTCCTCCTCCTCCTCCTCCTCCTCCTCCTTTCTCTTCCTTCCCAAGTGTTCCCCCAAGCGTTTCTTCAACGGCTGGGGATAGAGTGGCCAGCCTCTGGCCCACGCTTGGCCGCACAGGCGCTTCCAGAAAGGCAGGGCGCGGCGGTGGTCCGATAAACATGACTCGGGGATGATTGGGGGCCCTGGACGTTTCTGACCCTTCTTGAACCTCTGGGAGCCCCCGGGAAACTCTGGGGCCCTCCCCGGGAGCCCCTGGGAACGCGCAGGGAGGTCTACAGGGAACTCCCGGGATGAGTGCTGCCCTGGGCCCTCGACCCTCGAGGCTTCTGCGCGTGTTTCTTGCCAAAGTCTTCAACAACTTCTGCCGCTTGCCTCCAAGCCGAGCGCGCGCGGGCCTCGGCTCATGCGTCATCGAGGTCGTCGGAGCGCGGACGGCCCCGGCCCCCGTCGGCCGCGGGCACATCGGCGAGGTCAGAGTCGCCGTGTTGCCGAGCTCTCTCGTCGAGCTCCGGCCGCTGGGAAAGAGGGCCCTGGCCCCAGCATGGAGCTCCGAGGCCTTCCTGACGCCCACCTCCGAATCGAGCGTCGCCCTGCAGACCCCCGCCGCTGTGATCATCACACGAAGGTCTCGACCCCTCGCCCCCCCCCCCCCCGCCAGGACCCTTCAGCGGCGCTGCCGCGGCTGAAGCCGTGGCGGTGGGAGCAGCGGGAAGAGGGGAGGAGGGGGGGGCAGGAGGAGTAGGAGGAGCAGGAGGGGGAGGAGGGGGAGTAGAGGGAGGAGGAGGCGGAGGAGGAGGAGGAGGCGAGGAGGAGTGAAGCGGAGGCGGAGGCGGAGGAGGAGGAAGGCACGGCTCGTCCTCGCTCTCGTCCCCACTCGTCGCCGCCTCACGTCGTCCCATCCGTCGCCTTCTCCCCCCCCCCGTGCACCGCGCAGGTGCGAGCCGGGGCGCCCTCCTCCGGCAGCGGCAGCTCCTCCCCCTCCCCACGGCTCCCGCCCTCCCCTCCTCGCCCTCCCCTCCTCCCCTCCTCCCGGCGGAGTGGGGGAGCCAGGCCTGTATGCCCGTGCTGCTGCCAGAGTGGCCCGCACAGCGCTTTTGCGGCGGCTCTCCGCGCGACAGGCTGGCCAGGAGCCTCCGAAAGATCAGGCATCAAGAATCCTCCCCTCCCCCTCTCCCCCGGCAGGGGGGCGGTGGCGGCGCGGGAGAGGGGGGGGCGGTGGCGGGGCGAGCGAGTCGCCTCGGCCACCGCCTCGGGCGCCTCGCCGTCCTCCAGCCTGGGGGGGCGCAGAGGGCCAGGCTTCGAGGATCGAGGATCGAGGTCCAAGGATCGAGGTTCGGGGTTCGAGGATCGAGGTTCGAGGACCTAGGTTTGGGGGGGGGGGGGGGGGTCGTCCCCCCCTTTCTTCGGCGTCAGGAGGCAGGGGAGGAGGGGGTGGCGGTCCGAGGATCGGGTGCCGAGGGGGTTCGGCGATGGGGGCCGTCGGACGTTTTTGGAGGAGTGCCGCGGTTGGGTCTGCGGGGTCTCCTCGGCCACTCACCCTCTTCTGGCCTTGGGGGGCCAGGGTTCGGGGATCGCAGATGTCTTTGCTCGCTCGCGGCCCCCTCTTGGAGGAGGGGGCTCGAGGATCGGGGATCGTCTTGGAGGGGGGGGAGGTCGAGGGCCTGAGCTCTCGAAAATATGTGATCCCCTCCTCCTCCTCCTCCTCCCCCTCCTCCTCCTCCTCCTCCTCCCCCTCCTCCTCCTCCTCCTCCTCCTCCTCCTCCTCCTCCTCCTCCTCCTCCTCCCCCTCCTCCTCCTCCCCCTCCTCCTCCTCCTCCTCCTCCTCCTCCTCCTCCTCCTCCTCCTCCTCCTCCTCCTCCTCCTCCTCCTCCTCCTCCCCATCCTCCTCCTCCTCCCCCCCATCCTCCTCCTCCTCCCCCTCCTCCTCCTCCTCCTCCTCTTGCCCCGAAAACCTGCAGGCTTCCCAGGGCCCTCGGGCCGCGAGCGCCGCCCTCCCGCCCTGGGACGGCGGGCCCGCGACGGGCGCGGGGGGCGAGGGCCGGGGCTCCGGGGAGGGGGCGGCGGGCAGAGGCCACGCGGAGGCCGCAGGCCGGTGCGGAGGCTCCCCGGCACACGCTCGCGCCACGGCCGCTTTCGTGCCGCGGGCTCCTGGGCAGCAGGGGAAAGCAAACTCTATACACCGACCCTTTTCCGGTCCTGTACTGAAACTTGCACGGGGAAGCGGATCCTGGTGCAGAAGGGATCCTGGTGTACACATGTTTCGTCGTTTCCCCTGGAAATGGGAACAGAAACAACAAGTATTACCACACCACCCCGACGTCGCTCCCGACCCGCAAAGTCCTGGGACTGAAAAACAACCTGGCACTGGTCATGCAGAAGTTCCAGTTTCCGAGGTAGGGCGACGAAATCTATACATATCCACTGCTCCCTGGCCAGGCCCATCCTGAACCCAGCATCGGTGTACACGCTATGCCCTCCTGGCTTGGCCAGGAGTGCGTATACGCGGCTCCTGGGTTCAGGATGGGCCTGGCCAGGGAGCAGCGGCTGTGTATAAGTTTCGTCGCCCGAAGGGGCCTCTCCTAGGGGCGCCCACGGCGAAGGCAAACCCGAAAGCCGGCAGAGCCGACAGCGAGACCGAACCCGACCGAGGCCGCCAGTCCGCAGGCAGCCTACTTCGAAGGGCCCGGCGGCGCAGCCGCGACACGGCCAGCGACCTCGCCGAGCTGGCGGAACGCAGTCGGCTGCGACGCAGCCGAGCCGAGCGAACGGCGGACACCCTGTCCCCAGGGGCTTGTCGACTTTTCGCCAATCGATTTGTGGGGGTCAAGCCAGAGAAATCCGGGCAAGTGCAGAGGTAAACCGAGGCAAATCCAGGCAAATCGAGAGACATCCGGGTAAGTCCAAGGAAACCCAGAGATCTCCAGGGAAAGCTCGAGCAACTCGCGGCCGCTCCAGAGCGAGCCGAAGGACGGCAGACGTCGTCAAGCCTCTCAAACGGCCCTTGCCCTCAACCCCATCCACGGCACTGCTCTCTCCGCACGGGTGGTTCTTGGCCGGTCCTGGGGGGCCGAAACTAGAGCCCTCCTAGATGGGGTCGGAGGATCGCGCCGCATCGTCGATGTATCGGCGATACATCGGCGATGCATCGGCGATGCACCGGCGATGCATCGTCAACGTCGGTGATGCATCGGCGACGTCGACGTGAAGCAGATCGGCCTGCACATCGAGCCGTATCGTCGATGCATCGGCGATGCGGCGCGATCCTCCGACCCCATCTACGCCGACCACATCTAGGAGGCCTAGAGAAACGGGCCCCCAGAGCCCGAAAGCGTTGAAAGCCTGGCCGCCGCGACTCTTCGAGACGCCGGGATCCGCGTGCGGGTCTCCAGAGGCCCTCAGTCCACTGGAGGCGGGCGAGAAAAACTCCCAAGAGCGCAAAATCCTCGAACCTCGACCCTCGATCGTGGCAAGAAGACCTCTGGCGGAGTGGCTCGTTCAGACGGCGGTCCACGGGCCCCAGACGTCCGCTTCCCCCGGGCAGGTCGTTCGTCCCGGATCCATGGGGCCAAGAAACAGCCCCCAGAGGCCGAAGTTGCCGAACCAAAAAGCTAGCATTGAATTGATCCATCTGCTGGACCCTCGGTCACAGAACTAGGAAGGCACCAACTATACACCAACACCAATCCTTGCCAGGATCACCCTGGGCCCAGGATCGATGTATACGCCCTCCTGCCTTGGGCAGAATGCATATACACCGATCCTGGGCCTAGGATCGGCCTGGCCAGGATCGGTGTAGGTGTATAGTTGGAGCCCTCCGAAGAACACGTGCAACATCGGGAAACACACGACCTGTGCCCTCTCTTCCTCTGTGTGGCAGCACCACAGCTGGATCGAGACGTGCGGGCCCCGAGGCCCGAAACTGTGCGAGCGCGCCGGGGGCGACAAGAGCGCGCGGCTCCCGGGGGAGCCCAGGGCGACTCCCGGAGGGCCTGGGGGGGCCCTCTGAGCAGACGCTTCCGTTACCATTTTGCTGCTCTCTTCGCCCCATGATGGGTCGAGGGCCATTCCATCAGCCAGAGCTCGAGAAGAGCTTCGAAGCGGCGGCACTGATGCGCCGACCGGCCTCTCGTGGGTTACAGTCAAGCTCCAGAAGAGATCCGACAGCATGGCAGAGGATACAGGCAATCACGCCCCCCCCCCGCGCGCACAGTTGTCGGCGCGGGTTGTCAGACCCCGAGGGGCTCCGGTTCGAGCGGAGACCCCCATTCGACAACACACACCCGTAGCCTCCCATGGAGTTCGACCCCGAGAAATCTGGGGGTCGCACAGGCACGGGTGCTAGTTGACAGCTCCTGGTTTGCTGCAGGCGTGCATATACAGCCCACACGTTCTGGAGCCAGGCAGGGGAAAAAACTGCGACATCACAGCTTGAGCTCGTTGGTTCCATCGGCCCCCCCCCCCCGCGCGCGGCACAGCCAGCGGCGGCCCTGCTCGATCTGCGCCATCGGCGCCGCGCCCGCCATCTGGCCCAGCCGCGACGCCCGGGCGGCGCCGCGCAGCGGCGGGGGGAGCGGCGGCCGAACCGCAGCAGGGAGCTGTCAGAGCTGGGCGTCGCAGCAGAGGATCGCGACGGTCAGCAGTCGGCTGCTCCAGATTTCACAAACAAG